GTTAGATTACTGTTCACAAATAGTTAAGGATGTGGGTTGTTCTAGTTAGTAGAAATGCGAAGTTTAGCTCAGGATAGGAAAGTGGAGATACGTGTCCAACCAGTCTTAGGACTGACGACCCTCTGATAATGATTAACAACAACAACAACAATACAATGAAATATGGAAAAGGTTTTTCAGAAAAGACACTATGTTGAATACCATACGAATTAGATATACCGGGTTATAATTTTTGCAGCCCAAATACTAATTTCGACAAACGTAGAAATCAGTTGGGTATAAATGAGCTGGATAATGTACGAGGGTGGATTGATAAGTTTCCGGCCTAACCAAGAGATGACGCCACTAGGCCTACCTTGAGGTGACATTCTATAGTACCATCCTTGGATAGCTTGTAGCTATAGTTTCAGCCCGATCTCCTTGCTAGTGTAGGTTTGACAGCACGCTGAACAAGACGCCTCTGTGGTTTTCGTAAAAATGGAAAAGCAGGAAAATCGTGCTGTCATCAAATACTTTTATTTGAAGGGGTTAACGCCGAAGGAAATTAAAAAAGAGATGGACTCAACACTGGGGACATCCTCCCCGTCATATTCAACCGTTAAGCAGTGGGTTTCCGAGTTTAAAAAGGGTCGTGTGAGCACCTCTGATGGGCCTCGCTCAGGACGCCCCGTTGAGGTCACAACTCCAGATATGATCGAAAAAATTCATCAAATAGTGCTGGGAGACCGCAGATTGAAAGTGCGTGAGATAGCTGAGACCTGTAAGATGTCATATGAACGTGTGCAACATATTTTGCACCAACATTTGCATATGGAAAAGCTCTGTGCAAGATGGGTGCCGCGTTTGCTAACAGTCGACCAAAAATTGATTCGAAAAAACATTTCTACCGCAAATTTGTCATTGTATAAGCGTAATCCAAGCGAATTTTTGCGTCGATTCGTAACCGTTGACGAAACGTGGGTCCACCACTACACTCCTGAAACCAAAGAACAGTCTAAACAGTGGATTGGACCAGGGGAACCAACTCCAAAGAAGGCAAAAACAATTTTTTCGGCGAACAAGGTTATGGCTACTGTTTTTTGGGATGCAAGAGGTATTATATACATTGATTACCTTGCAAAGGGTAATACTATCACTGGTCAATACTACGCAGACTTATTGCAACGTTTGAGCCACGAGGTGAAAATTAAACGACCTCATCTGGCGAAGAAAAAAATCTTGTTTCATCACGATAACGCACCAGCGCACACGTCAATCGTTGCGACGGCTAAAATCAACGATCTAAAGTTTGAATTGATGCCGCACCCTCCTTACTCTCCAGACCTAGCCCCGAGTGACTATTTTCTGTTCCCTAATCTCAAAAAATGGCTTGGCGGTAAGAGATTTGCGGACAATGAAGAAGTAATCGAAGCTGTAAATGGTTATTTTGAGGAGCTTGACGAATCAGTCTATAGAGATGGCATTAATAGACTGGAACACCGCTATGAGAAATGTATCAGCCTTGGAGGAGATTATGTTGAGAAATAAAAAAAAAAAATTTTTAAAAACCTTGTTTTTCTTGGTCAGGCCGGAAACTTATCAATCCACCCTCGTATATGAAAAGCTCATGATCTTTTTTACGAACAGGAAAAAGATATCCATCAACGTGACGAAGGTGATAGGATACTAGCCGATAGAGCGTTAACACGATTGAAAGTTGATAATTCAAGGGCAGGTGAAAAGATGGCTGCATCAGAAGTGGATGGTGCGATGAAAGCCAATATAAAGTTAGGTTAATTTAGGTTATCTATAAATCATGGATACATCAAATACTGTTACAAAATCAAATGGTAATATCAACAATAATGATAATGAAAATGAACATAATGATAATATTTTACAAATAAATCGACCTAATAAAATAAAACATAAAGGTGAAAATGATTTTAAAAATATAAAGACTACTCAACGACTACGACTACGACCACTAGACCACTAAAACATATGAATAATGATGTTTATGTTGATGGTGATCGTCCTGATATTATCCCATCAAACATATTAAAATTTAGTTAAGTCAAAGAAAAGAAAATTTGATTTTAAAGATAATAATGATAATTATCAAACAGATGTTCCTAATAAAAAGATAAAACTCTGACAACTAATTTAGTTCAAGTTTATTCTCTCGTATCAATGGCAACAAGATGCGGCTAAAAAGACAATCACAGCAAAAACAGTTATCATTATCATCAAAAATAAGAAGAAAAAGAAAACAACAAAAATAGCCTAAAATATCTTTTAGTGGGCTCATTAAAAATTTAAAGAAAGAAATATTTCGAAAGAAACCTAAACATACTACTCCAATCGCGAAGCAAACAACTGTGGGCAGTAATAGTAGTCATGGTAAAAAGACAACACAACGTGTAATTAAAATTCCTAGAACTGGTGGCATTCTACCGTTGATACCAATATTTTTTGGGAGCATTTGGTAGTAGCGCGACACAAATAACTAACGCAATAAATTCAGCTAGAAATGCAAAACGTAAACTTGAAGAAAATCAAAAGCATAATCGAAAGATGGAAGCTATAGTTGTGAAAGGGGGAAAAGGGTTATATTTGGATCCGTACAGAAAAGGACTGGGTCTGTTTTTATGAATAAGAAAGAACAATTTCCAATAGAATTACCTAATAAACCTCTAACTAAGGTCGATATTTATAAATTTGTAAGAGCATTTAAAGTGTCAATTTTTCGTGGCATATTTTCACGTGATCGATTGCCTAAAAAAATTACAAAACATGAGTCGGGTGTTAGAAATTTAGATAGCGATAGCGGTAGTGAAACCCACTGGACGGCTTATAATAAAAATGGATCTGTCGTACAGTATTTCGATTCGTTTGGTAATTTAAGACCACCGTTGGAAGCGATTAATTATTTTAATTCAAAAGGATTATGTAAAGTACTATATAATTGTACACTTTATCAGTCATATAATACTTGGAATTGTCGTCAGTTATGTATTAATTTTTTATTTATATAAAAATAAAACTTAATAAAATATACGAGTATTTTGTCTAAAACTATCGATTTCAATATAGAGAAATATAGAGAGAGATGTCTGATCTACTAATGTTTACTTATAACGAATCTTCCATTTTAAGCAACGATTTTTATCCAGCAATTCATTTAGATGAAAATTCTTCATACGAGATTGGTTTAATAGACCTAGATGTAAACAACGCCATACCAAGCATTGATACTAAAAACAATAAATTCCATTACATAATAAACGATGATAATGATAGTGGCATTGAAACTAAAATTTCTACTACGAAAATTACTAAAAAGAAGAAAGAATATTAAACTAAGGTAATAGAAATACTTGTAGGGAGTTATGAAGTAAAGGATATTAATGAGTACATACAGAACTAGTTTAAATTAATGAAGAACGGTATATGCCAATAACAATACACTCAAATGTGAAATAAAATGTACAAAAACTATTGATTTTTCAAAAGACAATTCAATTGGACAATTGTTGGAATTCAACAAGCAAATTTTAAAAAAAGATAAACATCATATTTCTGACTTTCCAATTAATATTATACGAGTTAACATAATTCGTGTTGAATCTAACATAGTAACAAATTCTTACAGCAAAGGAGAATCGGTGCATAGGATTCATGCACTCTACCCAACCGTTCCACCTGGTTATAAAATTGTAGAGAAACCAAACAATGTAATTTATTTACCGATTACTACTCATATAAATAACAATTATAACCCTTAAAACAGTACATCAAAATGGAAATTTAGTTAATTTCAGACAAGAAGGTATCACAGTTACACTACATCTACGAAAAAGAGTGAATTAAGAGATTTGGTTGTAATATTTAATGATAGCAGTAAATACCACTGATTAAGATATAAATACACTATCAATAGTTAAAAAAATTAGTAATAAGCATAAGTCTAAAAGACTAACATTGGAAAACAAAAAGTTTTTACTCTCTCGGTTTTAAATTGAAAAATAATAATGACAAATATATTAAGGGTTAATGAAAAGATCAACTTTGATAATTTGATAACAAATCTAATTACATTCTCATCAGCAGTATGCAGCAAATACGTTTAATTATAACGATGAATGCAGAATTCCCAAACAACAACAAGATATCATTACATTACTGTGTGATAGTTTTCTATAATTGAAAGGAAAATTAACAAAAACCCATGGAAATAAATCGGCAACTGTCACATTGATTAACAATGCCTTTACCTTTCTATTCGAAGAAATTAGATACGAATTGGGTAAAATCACGCTAAACAGAATTGTATGGAAAGTACCTCACTTAACAGTTTCCGATTATGAAAAAATCAATTATTGGACTATATTGAAAAAAATGTCAGTCTACCAATTACGCTTAGAAGTTGGAATCACATGAATATCCGTTACTTCAACAATAAACCAGGCATCATACGTGGGCGGTTAAATCGGCATCATATATAGAAAAAACACGATTTATCATAATAGCTTTTCAAACTGATAAAAAACATAATTTAAAAGTAGATAATCCGTATGACAATATTAATATAAATTATCAACAAAACCAATTTGCAATTTTGTCAAATGTATAGCAAATTTCAACGATCGTATTATCGGAATAAAAGTAGCGACGAACCTGCCCTAACACCAGATTTGTTTAAGAAACGTGCACCGCTAGTGGTTATTATTGATTGCTCACATTGCTTACATGAAAGTGAAACTATTAAAAATAATGCTATTGATATTCGATTAGAATTTGAAACGGTTGAAAATATACCTGCAAAAACGTCTGCGTACTGTCTAATTATTCACGAAGGATTCGTGAATTACAATCCACTTACGAGTGTTCGTATTCTATAGAAAAATTAAGTTCAGATGTCTTAAATGTCAAGGCGAAACTGATGTACCTATAGTAATATGAAATGTATTCTGTGCACATTTACAGAATTACTAAAGTCTGAAGGCCATAAGCACTGTCCCATTTTTATTTAAAGGGGTCCTCAGGTTACGAAGATAAACGTCTGAATTTGTAAATATTTCAGTTTTCATTTCAAGTTCGAATCTAAGTTGAAAATCATGTAAGTATCAGGTGATGTTCTCCAATTTTTTTATATTTTTGTTGGTATAAATTTAGAAAAAAATAAGGAATCTAGTCAGTAGAAGAAGCAGAAGAGTGTGCACGGGTAAAAGAAAAAAAAATGGAAAATCTAAAATCGTTGATTTACAAAGTTTTAAAACAGACACTAATCTTTTGAACAAAGAAATGAACGTATTTTTGTTTAAACCTCCACACCATTATCAATCATTATCACTGATTTATAAATACGAAGATTATTGGTTGTTGAGAAACTTTCACGGATTGTCATGGGAAGGTGGGAAATTTAACTACTGTCTCTTGAAATCATCATCATAAGGTCGTCAGTCCTAAGACTGATTGGACACGTACCTACACTCTTTCCTATCCTGATCTAATCATCGTATTTTCCTAAAATTAGAACAACCCATATTATTAACTATTTACGAACAGTAATCGAATCTAGGTCTACCTCTACCCCTCCTAACTTCCGGTTTTGTCTCTACTATATCTCTGACTAGACCTTCATGCCTGAGAAGATGTCCTACTTACCTATCTCGCCTATTTCTAATTGACTTTCATAGAGTCCTATTCTTTCTAATACCTCTTCATTTCTAACCTTATATATCCACGGTATTCTCATCATTCGCCGGTAACACTACATTTTAAATACTTTTAACCTTTCCTTTTTTCGTTGCGCCCACTGTCCTTGTTCCGCACCCGTACAGCGCCGTGCTCCAAACATACACCTTTAACAATCTTTTTAGAATTTCTAAATTAACCATTCGCGAGCATATCAGTGTCTTGTTTTTATTGAAGGCGTCTCGACCATGTGCTATTGTCTGCTTTATATCCCTACTACTCCTTCCGTTCTGACTTATCTGACTTCCTAGATAGGTACCTAAAATCGGCCACTTTTTCTAATTTTTCGTCTCCTATGTTTATATTCGATCTTTCCCTACTTCTTTTTCCCTTGCATACCAGTATTTTAGTTTTACTTTTATTTATTTTCATTTTATTTAAAGCTATCTATAACTTCTCCTTGTTAGATGCTAATACTTCTATATCATCTGCAAATCTAAGCTTACTAATCTTTTGCCGCTGTATATCTATCCCTTCAGTTGTACTGTCTTTAATGATGTTGATTGCGTCTTCAACGTATAGATTAAAAAGTAGCGGTGACAGTGTGCATCCCTGTCTGATTCCCTTTCTAATACTTACTTCATTACGTTGCAGCCCCAGCTCTATAACTGCCTGTTGTTCTTATAAACTAAGCATCACTCTTCTATCTTTGTAACTCAAACCTACATTTTTAAGTACATATATTTAACATTGTTTTAAACGCCTTTTTTAAATCTACAAATCCTGTGTACGCACTCTTTCCTTTTTCTGTCATTTTCTCTATTGTTACCCTTTAAATAGAATGATCTCCAGCGTTCTTCTATTTCTTCTAAATCCAAATTCATCTTTCCCTAATAGTTTGTCCGCCCTATTTTCAATCCTTTTCTGTACAATTCTAAATAAGATTTAATCTAATTGTTCTTAATGTGACTAACTAGCTTAAGTATACGATTTCTAACCTCCTGTCCTGCATGTTTTATAATTTCCCCCTGTATCCCATCTACACCTGGCGTCTTATTTAAGTTAGTTAATGCTATATCGAACTTTTCTCTCATTATGTAATAACCTAGCTCATCTACCTCCACACTATCTTCCTTCTTTAATAAGTATATCTCCTAAATCATGGCCTGCGTAAAGGTTCTCTAAATATTCTTTCCACCTAGCAGCTTTTTCCCCATTTTCTATCAAAATTACCCCTGTCTCGTTTCTTATATTATTACTACTGTACCCTGCATCTCTAAAATTCCTCTTAATTATATCATAAGCCTCATCGGTTTTACCTACTTCAAAATTTTCTTCTTTTTTACACCCCCTATCAATCCACTGTTGCTTAGATGTCCTACATTTCCTAATTATTACCCACTTGATAACCTTACGTCTTTTTCGCCCTTTTTCGTCTGTCCTCTTTTTTTTTTCTTTTTTTTACGGTTTCCTACTTTCGTTTTGTTTAAGACCTAATATATCTGTAGCTGCTAACTGTAGGCACGTTTTCATGCAGTTCCATTCTGTCTCTATTCTGTAATTCGTTTCTCCCGCTGTCTTTAGTATTTCGTCTGGTTTTGTACCTACCCTATTACGCGTTTCATTACATTTTAGCTTTTCTAACTCAAGACGTCTCCTACCTTAGCGCCTGCTAACGTGATGGTTGAATAAAGTATTGGCGACGGTTAAGTTATGTTTGTCGCAAAATTCTAAAAAAAATTTGGTAGATAATAATTTTAACAACTAAACACTGAATAAAAAAGATAAACGTTTATTTATATATTTTATTATTCAATTATGAGCAAATTACAATTCTTGAAATGAATATTTTTAACTGTTAAAATTAAATTCGTCATCATCATACTATTTCTTAGTGTGGCGATTGCGGTTGCTGCTACTGCACCAACATGTTTTGATCATCCTATTTTTTAATGTTTTCATTTTTTTCTTTTTGTTACATTTTCCTTCGTTTTCCATTGTTTTTGCAGACACTGAATTGACTTGATTGATCATTCTTTTTCCACTTGTTTGCGGTTGCTGCGTCACTATTTTGTCTGTTTCTCTTCCAATACTTACCATTACCCTATCTTTTGTATCATCTTTCACCATTTGCAAACTTTCTCCTTCATCGCCCTTTAAATTGAATGTATATCCTTGATATAGTTTTTGTAATATTTGCAATTCATTATTATCCTCCGTCGGTAATTTTAAATGTACGATAGGTAAATTTCCTAATTTTTTTAGCATTGTATCAGCTCTCGGGGTGTACGATAGCTTAACCATTACTACATTTTCTCGTTTTTCAATTATTCTAACACCAAATCTATAAATACAAAGAAATTTAGTTTATGAATTCAACGTTTCATTCGTTTAAATAATACTTATTATAAAAAAAAAGAAAACGACAGAGCACTTACTTAAACATCTGTTTCGCTGCAACATAGACAGAGTCAGGTGTTACCATTGATGTATCAGTAGATTTCAAAACTAATGTACATGGTACATTTGCCATTGTTGCTGCTTTCGTTGTTGAGAACTTTAGAAGTATGAATAGGTGGTTATGAAGACTGGATCAATATATACTAATCATTAATTTTTAAAATTATTTACACAGAATTTGCATTTAATAAATATATTATCAGTTAATTAGTGTAGTTTATAATTTCTTTTGTAGTTTCAAAATTGACTACTAATGATATAATTTCGTAAATTGCTTAGTTTATATTTTCAAAATGTTTCACTTGATACCATCAAAATACATTTCGTTATCTACATTTAATTGAACTGTTAACTTTATCTATCGACGACCTCTTCACCTCTTATCACATAAAAAACAACTATAAATATTAACAATCTGCTACTTTGTTGCAATTCTTCACTTGTTATATCAAAACAAAACTTTCTGCTATAAATATGTAATAAATTTAACACACTTCCATTTAAAATATACATTAAATAAAGCTGTGTGTGTTTACCCTACGAGTGAAACTCTAGGTAAGTAATGATTTTTTTAATTAGATTGATAGATAATAGCTTTATTAACATCCAACTTTCTTGCTCTTTCCTCGTGTGCTCACTTATTCCAGTTTGTTTTTGCGTTTGTGTTCCTCTTTCAAGTATGCCGGTATATTGATTGGGTGTATTTCTTTATATTGCTTTGCTTATTTCGATGAAATTAGTTTTTCCTCTAGTTTTTGCTTGCCCTGTTTCAATTTTTCAATTTTTCAATTTTCTCTGCTTTTGCTCATATGTCGCTGTTATTCTCCGTAAGTTGATTAAAGTAGTCAGGTGTCCATTTCATTTCTAGTAATTCCTTCTCTCTAACTTCGGCTTTTCTGCTATTTTTTTTCTGTATTTAATTTTATCTTATCTTTTACTTAGGCATTCTTTAAGTAGATTGCTTCCCTCGTTTCTAATTTTTTCATGCCATTTTTTCTTTGCCTGTTTTTAATTTTAGTAGGTAGCTTGGTGTTGTTTGATCAAGCCTGAGGATCCTTCTAATACTTTGTGCTCTGACTATTCCCATATTTTCGCTTCATACATTAGTATACTTTCTACCAGTACCTCAAATAAATACATTTTCTTTTCCCAAGTTTCCTTGAAATTTCTTTCAGATATACTCCATATTTTCCCTAAGACTGTAGTTGCCTTTTTTTTTAAGTTTTTTATTTGCTTTTTGTTTCCGTTGTTCTTCTGTATGAAGCAGCCTAGGTAGTTGTAGATTTTTACTTCTTCAATTTATTTTCTTTCTCATGTAAATATTATCTTTTTCATTCTTCCACCACCTTTTCTGCTTCTCATTATCTTCGACTTATCCGTATTCATCTCTAGGGCTCTTTCTTCCCATTTTTCTCATCATCTCTGTCATCCCCTCTTTATTGTTCGCTATCAATACTATATCATCCGCGTAAGACGCTAACATTAATTTCTTCTTTTTCATAATTACTCCTCCTATTTAAATTTTCTTCATTGTATTTCCAGGTCTTTGCTGGTACTGCTTTATTCAGCTAATTTATAAAGTACTCAATGTCTCTTCATTCCATATTATAAGTTCTCTGTCTTTCTCCTGTTCCTTTACTTCCTCTGTATCGACATTCAACTCAATTTGTATCATTAAGTGATCCGATGCTATCCCTTGTTTAACTTCCATTCTTTTGATTTTCGCTTCTCCGATTCTGTTTGTTATCACATAATAAATCACCGATTTTCCCGCTGCTCCAGCATATGTCATATGCATTTTCATTTTCTGTGAAATTTCCATACATTATGTACAGACCTTGCTCTTCCATCCAGTTTAATAGTTATTTCCTAAATTCATTTACAGTTTTGTCGTCTGAATTTCTAAGTTCTGTTCCTGTTTTATCTTCTACTTTGCCTCCATTTCTAGCTGTTCTAGCGTTAAAGTCTCCTCCTATTATTATCGGTTTTTCTTTATTTTCTTCTATGATTTTTGTCATCCTTTCAAAATTTTCTTATTTATTTTCACTCGTAATTATTATTTCTTCACCTCCTATCTTCAAGTCGTTCCTTATCAACTCAGTTTCTTTTTTTGGTAGTAATTTCTTTATCTAGCAAGTTTTTTGTGAAAGCTGCGACCATAGCTCCTTTGGGTCTTCCTTTTTTCTTTTCTCACTTGGCGTTTATTTTCGTGATTTCATATGTTTTTAGCTGTCGCTCTAATTGAACATCTTTTTCTTTTTCTATCCAGGTCTCGGTCACATTTAATATGTCGTTATTCCTTAATTCATGCCAATCCTCTTCGTTTAAACCATTTATGCCCCTTACGTTCCAGAATACCATTTGCATGTTTTTCTTATAGTTATTCCTGGACGGTGATTCTATTCTTCTGTCTTTCCTTCCGAAACCATTTTCCTTCCTTTTATCCCAGTATAGCTCTTCTTGTTCTGTTATTATTTTGTTATAGCTAACTTTGCACTTTGTTCCTTTTTCTCTTAGAGTTCTGTTGCTTTTTTGATGACTCCTTTTCTACTCAGTTTTTCCAGCCATGGTGTGTCATTGTTGATAAATATTTTGTCTTTTTCTTGTCTCAGTATTTTTTGTTTTTCATAACATTGTTTTTTTGCTCTATACTTTCCAGCTGTGTTCCTAGGGTATTTTCTACATTTCTTATGAGCTAGAATTTCTGTACTATTACTTTTGCTCCTAGCTTTTTCTCCACGCATTTCTCTTAGTTCTTCTTATCCTTTATGTCTGTTCGGCCAATAATTACATTCTTCTTCCTTCTTTCTCTCTGAACTTTCCATTAGCCATTTCAGTCGCTTATTTCTTTTCTCGCCGCTTTTACCAGGTGACTCTTGAGTGTCTGCTTCCAGTTTCTCATTTTTCTTTTCTGTAATACCTTTTCTACTTCTTCCATTTTTTCTTTTAATTTCTTTTGTAGTTCACCGATTGTTTCCTCAATTAGTGTGATTTTTTGTTCATACGTGTTCATCTTCTTTTCTTTTTCTTGGTTTTCTTTTTTCAAGCTTTTGATGTCCAGTTTCATTTTATTCATTTCCTGTCTTATATTTTTTTATAGGGTTATAAATTTGTTCTTCAAGTTGTCGTTTCCCTTCTCTATTTTTTCATGCAGGTTTTTCCATCTATATTTCTTTTCTTCGTCTCTTTTCTATTGTTTCTCTTCGTTTTCCTTCCATTTTTTCTCTAACATTTGCATCAGTGAATCTTTTCCGCCCATTGTCTCCTTATTTTTGTTTTTTACACTATGTTTTTACTGTCTTTACTTTCTGGGCTCTTTTAAGCCTTTTTTTTAGCTTCTTCTGTACTTTTCTCTAGCCTTTGTGCTGTTGCCTTTGCTTGAGTTTGATGATGATCGACTTCCGTTTTTAGACCCGTGTGGTTTGTCTCTTTTTTTTTTAGTTCTTTTTAAGTTTCGATTACTGTCTCATTCAGACATAGCGAATTGATATTTTTTTTAACAATGCAAAATGCATTATGTCGTCATTTAGCTCCCTAGTCGGTTTTTTATGTACTTTCGTGTCAAGTCTGGTTTTCTGCTATTTTTTCTTAATTTCTTTTAACAGCAACACAATTCATACACTAAATTACTTTGCCTTTTTGATAAAATAAGTTTTTATGTTAACTTTTTTTTCTAAGAGACTATCTCCCGCTATGTCCGCGTCACACAATCAAAATTAATGCTACTAACTTAAAAATTACTCACTTAGAAAAGGAACCCTTAAAAACCAGAAGTTGTTTATTCTATTTACTGATTATAATATCCTCTTTTTGCCACTCAAAAGTCAAAGCCCAAATCGCTTAAAATTCATCTTAATGCTATACAAACGCGCAGAGCTGGGCACAACACGTCCGCACTTCAACAAAGCCAACTAGACCAAATATTTTTTAATTATAAATATTTAATAAATTTAACGCACTTCCAGTTTAAACATATACAAAATAAAACCTTCTTTACTTAGAAACCAGCATGTAGTATATCGTTACATTATTATATTATTATAGCATGGTGCCGTAGACATGCTATTTATTGTATAATATCAGCCTAGAGACGTGCTACGGTCAGATCACCACCTGGAAGGTATTCAGATTACGACGAGGGCTAGAATTTATTACTGATTTGAAGACCAACCTGATTCATCATCATTAAAAGGGAACGCAACGGTTGAGTACTCAAAAAATGGTATAAAATGTATTAAACAAATATGTTTGTAGCATATTTTCATAAATTTCATTCCATATAAAATTTCTTTTTATTATCTTCTACTTTAATACAATTTCTACTGAAAGCTATCAAAACACGTTTATTTAAACTAACAACCTCTTCACCTCTTGTTATATTAAAAAACAACTTTCTGCTATAAAATGAGGAAGTAGTGATTTTTTTTAATTTTTACTTTTATTGCATGCTTATAGTTTTTGTATTTATTATAGCATCATCATTGATTCTCCTATTAAAATATGTTAAAATAGCAGATAATAGTCAACCTCTCACGAAGGCAACACCTTTGGCTGCAGGTATCGATTTGAGAAGTGCCTATAGTTACGAAGTTCCTGCCCGTGGTCAAACTCTTGTTGATACTGGAATCAAAATTCAACTATGGATAGGTCATTACGGTCGTATTGCTCCATGATCTCAACTAGCCGCCAATCATTCTATAGACGTAGGAGCAGATGTTATTGACGAAGACTACAGAGGTGTAATTAAGGTACTATTATTTAATTATTCTAATAAAGAATTTGTACTAGAGATAGGTGATAGAATAGCTCAGTTAAATTGTGAAAAAATATCATATCCAACAATTGTCAACAATTGTTGAATGTTCACCATTAGATAATACAAATAAGTCAAATTGTGGATTTGGATCTTCAGGGATAAAATAATACTTTTTATAATTCGTAAAGGAAGCTAATGTTATTCTTAAGGATTTTATTAAGAAAATAGAAAAAGTTGGCATATTAATAAAGCTAAGGATGACTACACTAAATTTATTAAACTTTTAAATTAAAATATTTNACTTGATTCAAATGTGAATAAATCAAAAAAAACTAAAAATAGAAATATACAATGGGTAGACCTAGATTCATGTTTTAGAGGAAGAATTAGAACTGGTAGCATTGTAAATTATAAAATTAAGGAACCGATTAAATTTTTAGATGCAGCCTACAAAAGTTTCGCTTTAAAAGTTAAAAATTCTTTAAGACAGTCTATTTTAAAGGTAAATGCAATCTTTTATGGCAATTTTATAAAACCTCAAAATGGTGAGACTGAAATTAAACACTTTACAACTAGAAATAGCGTTATAGATCACAATTCAAATTTAAAAGATTGGTACAATGAAAACATTAAAAACAAAATATTAACAAAACTAGAAGGATTTCAAGAACGGGAGTCAGGATGGGCCCTTTACGAAATAATACAACTTAAAATAAATATTAATAATTATGCTCCAATTAACGTAGGTATTTCAACATATGTAGAAATGCCTTCATTTATTAATAATTCAAAATCAGTTATCAATATTCAAAATAACGATAACTTCCGTTTTCTATGGTCAGTTGTAGCTGCACTACATCCTTCATCGTTCAATGGAAATCCAAATAGAACAACATCATATACACACTTCAGTAGGATATTAGTATGAAGGAATCAATTTTCTAATTAAGTTGAACGATATAAATAAATTTCAAAAAATTAACAATTTATCTATTAATGTTTTCACGCTTGATAAAAGTAGTATTGTACCCATTTGTTTGAGTAAAACCGATTTTACACCTCATATTAACTTATTAATGATTCCGTGTGATAATTTAAATTGTTATATTAATGATAATGATGATAGAAATCATTTTTCAGATTCCTATACTGAGTTTAATGAAAGAAACGTTGAATTAATTTCATTTTGCATTAATTAATGACCTTTCACGACACAAACAAATGAAAAACAGTAAAATTAGAGAATGGATATGTAATCGTTGCTTAAACAAATTTACATCAAAGCAAACTTTAAAACGCATTTAATTGACTGTAAAAATTTAAACAAGACAAAAATCACTTTACCAAAAGCTAACGAAAAGTATTTAAAATCTAAAAATTTTAAAAATAAGGAAATTGTATCGTTTGTAATTTTTATGCTGATTTGGAAAGTATACTAGTTAAACACAATGACTTAAAATGTATAAATATTAGGCGTTCATTGAAGAATTGGCGATAATGTTTAGAAAGAAAAAGAATGTTCACTGGTTTAATAGATTTATTTACACAAAAGGGAAAAACGTTCAAACTTATAATATGTATATATGTGGTCTTAGGTACACAAATATACGCGAACGAATAGTAGGCGAGCGCGAAGCACGGTCAGCCGTGCTAAGGATGCAGTAGGCGCTGGTCTCTACTAATTTTCCAAGGTAGACTAGACCCCGAAGGATGCTCAGTCTAGAGGAGCTGTTAGAAGAAGGAGACACCTAGCTGTCCATACGACTGGGTAGTGTCGGATTCCCGTGGAAGGTGTCCTCGGACGTATCGACTAAAACCATTCTACCTCAAGACGTTCTAGGACCACTTAAGTCCTCTTCAGCCGTATATGTTTGTTGATTATGTGATTCATCATCATCATAAGATCGTCAGTCTTAAGACTGGTTGGACACGTACCTCCACTCTATCCTATCCTGAGCTAAACTTCGCATTTCCCTAAAACTAGAACAATCCACATACTTAACCATTTGCGAACAGTAATCTAACCTAGGTCTACCTCTACCCCTCCTAACTGCTGTTTCTGCATCTAATATGTCTCCGACTAGATCTTCATGCCTGAAAAGGTGTCCTACCAACCTATCTCTCCTATTTCTTATTGATTTCCATACAGTCTTCCGTTCTCCTATTCTTTGTAATACCTCTTCATTTTTAACCTTTTCTATCCACGTTATCCTCATCATTCGTTTATAACATCACATTTTGAAAGCTTCTAACCTTTTCTTTTCCGCCGCGCCCACTGTCCATGTTTCGCACTTGTTCAACGCCGCGCTCCAAACATACACTTTTAATAACCTTTTCCGAATTTCTAAATTAACTGTTCGCGAGCATAGAAGTGACTTCTTTTTATTAAAGGCGACCCTAATACTCCTTTCGTCCTGACTTATATTCTTCTAATTTTTCGTCTCCTACCTTTATATTCGCAATTTTTCTTACTGTTTCTTTTAGTTTTACTTTTATTTATTTTCATACAGTACTGTTTTGCAGTACCGCTTCCACTTAATTTAAAGCTATCTCTTATGCGATTGTGGTTTTTATATTATGTGTCTGTTTGTGTGGTGTGTGTGTGTGTGTGTATGCCTGGGTTTGTGTGTGTGTGTGTGTGTGTGTGTGTGGGTGTAGTGGGTGTGGTGGGTGTGTGGGTGTGTGTGTGTGGGTGTGGTGGGTGTGTGGGTGTTTGTGTGTGGATGCGGGCGTGGGTGTGAGTTTTTATTTTATGGGGTTGGGGAGTCTTTCGTTATAGTTTGTGTATTCTTCAGGGATCTTCAGGGAGATCTGGAATGATCGCCAGAAGTTTGGCAGGAGGGAAGGGGATCTTGCTGTTCGTTGGGGAGTGTAGGTTAGGGTTCTTGTTGATGTAGGGTTGTTGTTATCGATAACTCTTTTAGTGAATTTGGATTGTAGGTTATTGATTCGTGTGGGGATTGGGGTAATTGGAATGTAGTTGTAAAGTGTGTTGGACGGAAAGTGTTGGTCTAATCTCGCGACTTTACGTAAAATGCGTCGTTCGGTTGCAAGAATCCTGCGGGTTAGGTTACGCGACGTTGTGGTAAGTGTAGCTGCCATATAATCAATTGGCGGTCTGACGAAGGTTTTTCGTATGTGTGAAGGAGTGTATCTGTTACAAGTTTTTATACGCCCGTTTATTAACGAAATTAGGTTAGTGCGTTTCCGTACTTTGGCCAATGTGTGTTTAGTGTCTGCATGCGGGTTCACTGTGTGTGTAAATATGATTCCGAGATACTTTATTTCTTTTTGTAATGTAAGTTCAAAGTATCTTCTTCAACAGCCCAAAGCCCATACGTAAAGAAGGGAAAGTCGAGAGGGTAGTGCGAGCCCTATACTCCCACTCCGTTGGAAGGGGGTTGGTCATGATATCGGAAATCGACGATGACACTATCGACGAGTGTACTCGGGCGATGCGACGAACTATACGACGGGTTGGGTGCGAAATTGAAAACGTAGAGATGGTGTTACACAAGTAGAATGCAAAAGTGTCAGAAACATGAGCCTTTCTGTATTGCATATTAACTAAAGTGTTATTATGATTATCTTTCTAAATTTAAGTTATACACAGGGAAGGATTGTGTTACATGGTTCGTTAGGGAACTTGAAACTTTAGCTTTTGAATTTAAAAATATTTTTTCAAAAATAATTCCAATTAAAAAATTATCATGTGAACAAGGAAATTAACATCTTACTGTTGCATATTGTCATATTTATTGTAAACCATTTAGTAGTGAAAATGTTAAAATAAAGGATCACTGTCATTTAACAAGAAATTATAGAGGTCCAGTGCATTTAAATTGTAACTTGAATTATATNTTCTCTTTCTAAATTTAAGTTATACACAGGGAAAGATTGTATTACATGGTTCGTTAAGGAATTTGAAACTTTAGCTTTCGAATTTAAAAATATCTTTTCAAACATTATTCCAATTAAATAATTATCATATGAACAAGAAAATCAACATCTTACTGTTATATATTGTCATATTTGTTGTAAACCATTTAGTAGTGAAAATGTTAAAGTAAAGGATCACTGTCATTTAACAGGAAATTATAGAGGTCCAGCGCATTCAAATTGTAACTTGAATTATAAGAATAGTCATACAATACCTGTAATTTTTCACAATTTATCCGGATTTGACAGTCATTTCATAATTAAAGCTTTAAGCGTAGAAATAAAAGGTAATATTTCTTTATGGCCGGTTAATAAATAGTACTATATTTTATTCACAAAATTTATAGAAAACACTAATGTAAGTTTTAGATTTTTAGACTCATTTCGTTTTATGACTAGCAGCTTATATAAATTATCATATTATTTAGAAAAGAAACAAAAAATGATGAAGAATTTGAATTAGTTCAGTGTAAGGGTGTTTTTCCGTATAAATATCTAGACTGTTAGGAAAAATTACAAGATATTGAATTACCATCACCTCGAGAAAGCTTTTACAGTTCAATTTATGATTGTAACATTTCTCAAACGGAATACAACCTTTCATGTAATGTGTGAAAGACATTTAAAATTAATAATTTACAAGAGTATGCATCAGAATATTGCTTGTTGATATATTGGAAAATTTTAGATCAACATGCTGGACAACATATAATTTAGATACTTTACATTATTATGCTGCGCCAGGTCTAGCTTTTGATAGTATGTTAAAAATCACAGAAATTGAATTAGAACTATTAACTGATATTAATATGATAATGTTTATAGAACGAGGTATAAGAGAAGGAATATCACAATGTTGTAATCGCTACGGAAAAGCAAACAATAAGTATATGGTAGAGGTAGAAGGTAGATGAATTTAATCCTAACGAACCTACATCATATTTAATGTGTTACGACGTAAACAATTTGTATGGTGATGCAATGAGTTTTCCACTACCTGAAGGAAAATTTGAATGGGTCCATGACATTTACTCAGTTAATATTGATGAAATTAATGATAATAATGAATAACATTATCCGGATGCACTACACAAAACACACAAACGTTTACCATTACTTCCGGAACATTTAGTTTCACCTACATCTGGTTGAAAGACACTTATGTTTTTAACAACAGTTTGTGATAAGAAAAAATATGTTATTCATTATAGAAATTTAAAACAAGCATTAAGCTTAGGTATTAAACTTGAAAAAAATTATAGAGTACTGAAAGTTAANAATACGAATTTACGGAAAGCTAGTAAAAATGAATTCGAAAAAAACTTTTACAAACTTATGAATAACTCAGTATTTGGTAAAACAATGGAAAACGTACGAAAATATAGAGACGTTAAATTAGTAACGAAATGGACAGGAAGATATGGTGCTAATTTTTACATTTCTAAACCAAATTTCCATAGTTGTACTATATTCAATGAAAATATGATTATAATAGAGATGGAACGATTAAATATTAAATTCAATAAACCAATTTACGTAGGATTTTGTATTCTTGACATTTCGAAAACTGTACTGTATGACTTTTATTATAATTACATTCAAAATAAATTTTATAATTTCTAAATTCACTAAACTTCTCTACACTGACACAGATTCACTCATATATCACTTCTTTGTCGATTATATATGTCATCATATAAAATGTGATATACATACCACATATGGTGGTGGTGGTGTCCTTCTCTAAGAATTTTTAACTTTTTAAAGCCTTTTATTTTTTCAGAAAAACGGTGTTTTTAAGATTCAGCGACAGATTGCAACAATAAAAAAAAAACATCGCAATTTGCAGTTGGGCTCAATTTTAGTAAATGGACAAAGGAACAACTTTCTAAATGCCTGGGCTATATAAAAAGTGGGAAGGAGCCGAGATATAAGCACAAACGTTAAAAAAAAGTTTTTTTTTAAATTGTTTAATAAAAAATTTAGCGTACACTTTTGACTGTCCGGATCCCCGTCATTGTATTCTACGATGTAGTTGCTTCCTAACGTTTCGCTAGTACGAGTGGCGAGCTTCTTCAGTCATCTCCGATGTTGGATGTAGACTCCACAGGTCCGAATCAGAACAGAATCAAACTTACATATATTAAATAACTTTTTTAAAAAAAGTAATACAGAGCAGTAGATATCAAAAAAGAATGCCTACTTTACAGTAAGAATGCTGCATCAACATTATTCTTATAAAAGTTAGTTATACCCTCAAGTGCTATATAGATGCCGTTATTTTAATTGAGGAGAGCATTACCTAATAACGCTAATGTCCAAATTTTCAAAATTCAAATCGAAGTAGTTTCCGAAACAATCTAATGGGTGGTCATCGTGAGACACCCTATATATGTAACATTTTAGGTAATTTTGTTACAATTGTTTGGAACCTTTCTAATTATTTCTGGCTTAGTTTAAAGGACTGGAAAATTATTGTACCTGAAAAACAAAATAAATTTATTGATGAGTTTACTTGATTTTATTCCGAGCACTTAAACCTGATGTACTGCGAAATCTTTTATATTTTCTACTTCTCTCCTGATTTATTCATATTTCAATACGAAATTTCGAATTAAGGAAGCGTTTCCTCTTAGGAATGCTATTATATTTAAATAAATAATTTATAAAAGTGACTTTTATTTAGGTAATTAGAAAAAAAATCTTTAACTGCCTGTGTCGTAATATTAACAATTAAAAAGTGCATAATTCACATGCTGGAGATCATTACCTACAAACAAATTGAAAATACATTTTAGAATATTCTTAAAACTAATGCAATGTGGATCCGAAAATTATGAATTTTTTGACAAATTTGTTTAGAAAATACAGTTATTTTAAATAAAAATATCTGACACGTAGAAAGGTTATTACTGTATAAGAATGTGTGTATATATTGAATGTTTACGTGCGCTGGGTACAGTCTCATACAAAAATAATATTTTTTTGG